GCTTCAAAGTTTTGTATTAACTAATGTATGTATACTCCCGTAGTTAAAATGAATACGTGTTTTGTTCTACACTAAGAAAAAAGTAATATGATTTTTTTAAGTGTCATATTTGGTTTTTCCATATTAGCGATTAGAAATATTTGAACAAAAAAAATTTTAAACATCTTTAACATAAGTTTGTTTAATTGATAACAAAGTTGTGTTTTCTAGAAATTTTCATCAAGAATCAGTTCAGCTTAATAATGAAATTTCAAACACGCCAGTCTGTAACTTGGCAACATTTTGTTTGACCGAATGGTGATTTTTATAGAGGTGAAGAAATTCAAGCACTCCCAATTTTTCACTCACTATTCTGCGTTGGTAAAAAAAATTTTGTTACCGCTAAAAAAATTTCCCGCATTTTTTCGCATTCTGCGCACTGGTAAATTGTGTTACCATCTCATAAGCAGGGAACAAAATATTGCCCCGTGAAGTACGCAAGACCAGAATTTATACAAAACTTCAAAGCTGAATTTCTGAATAGATTAAATTGTTATCAAGGTGCTTGGAATTGCGGTTACAAGAAGTGGTGTTATTATTTGGTAACACTATTTTCCGGTGTCCAAATGTTCGGTTACAAGCAGAATAGGCCTTTTAAATGAAATATGAAATTTTGACATTTGTGTACAAAGGAAAATCAAATCAGCTGTTCTAATAGCACCACTTCGTGTATATGGGTCAATCCATATTAACAATTGAAGAATAGAGTTGCTTGAGATACTACTTTGTGTTCTGGAGGCAAAATAAACCGATACGTATTTTTGTATTTCAGCATATTATACGAAATTTGCAAGTTACAATTGTTTAAACTTTTGAAGTGCAAAAAATTGAAGATATTTTAAAACGTTGTAGTTATGCAACGAATTCTTATAAATTGTTCTTATACCTGTTTTAAATCTTTATAAGCAAATGATAATAATAAAAAGTACCAATCTTTGGAATCGTTAATTTTGTGATTAAATGAACCTTAAGATTGAAGAATATTTCATAAAGTTTTCACAGTTCAGGAGTTTCTGTTTAACAACTAATTGTTCAACACAATATGAATTGTATATAACATATGTATTGGATTTGCAGATTTTTGCGCAATGTGGCTACAGAATTCATTGATATTTACCAAAAATTCATTTAATTTTAGGTGTAAAGTTGCAACGTTGCAATTTAGCGCTCATTTTGTAGTTGCAAAGACAAAAAAAAACGTTTGCTAGATTTCTACGTAGGAACTTTACACCTAAAATGCTACAAATCGTTAACTCCCCTAATGATTCTTAAGCAAAAACTTCATTTTTTTATACAACTTTTGAAAATTGGGAATGACACCGCGCAATATCAAATAAATTTTCAGTTGTAAATTTAGTATGTAAAGAGAATACGGCATACATTTCAAAATTCCTAATTGTCCCTACGTCACTGGTGAGTTCTTGCTAAATGACTATATTTTATTAATCTGTTGAAAAACTAAGAAAACAAAAATAAAGAGGCTATAATTTTCGTCTATGCAATCTTTTACTTCATACATACATACATAGTTAATCCATACCAGTCACAAGTGCCACCAGTCACAGTTTTAAATATTTCTTAGAAGATTATGTCAGCCGAATTTTTAAGGAAAACAAAAACGCGTACTACATGCAAATATATTTCACACACAATAAATCAGGCTTGGAAGTTAAGTATTGTGTTTAAATTCTTTGAGGACACAATGGTAAAATAGAGCGATTTCAGCTTCCCCCCGGTCACATTAAGTCAAATAATAGTTACAAAGAACTTAGAAATTGGTTGGTATTTTTTTTAAGGAATTTCATACATCAGTTATTTGCCTATGTTAAAACATATCTTTGTATAAGTTCCGACGACATAGTTATAATGCACAATTGATCAAATTATGGAGTAAAATATCCCACCAGTCACAATGGAGTGGCCTTGACACTAGTATAATGAAATGCCAAGTTATTCAACCTAGGATTCTTAAAAACCTGTTTAAGTGTTTCCACCGCGCTTTCTTTTGATTTCGTTGACATTTGCTAATTAGTGTGTGTGTTTATGTAGAGAATTTCGCCATTTCACATGAATCAGTATGCAGGGTTGAACTTTTTAGTATCTAAAGGTTTGTTCGTTCGTAGGATTTCGTTGAAATCTGTAGTGCGATTCACTACGCTATTTTAACAACACTTGTTACTGTTAAGCCTGCTGAACGACAATTTGATCAATTTAGCTATTCAGTAAACGTTACCCTAACAACATTCATTGGCGCAAAATCTGTTGTCGGTAACGATAACAAGGGCTGCTTATTTGACGACGCACAGAGGATTAAGTATTTGTATAGTAAAACCGGACAAAATTATAAAATAAAACATGAAACTTAATCATAATTAAGGATTATTAGGATGAAAATCAAGAATGATAGAATACAAGATTGCGCCCATCAGAGAGGATTTTTGAGAATAACTTTTGTGTGACGTCACACTGGTGCAATTGCGAGAGAGAAATGCCAAAACGTGAGCAAGAATGGAAGAAGAAGAAAAAATGTTGCAAGGAAAACGTAAACAAGTTGCACAAGTGTGACGCCATATAAACAAGGATTCTGTCAAATTCACTGAGAGAGGAATAGCGGTACCATGTTGGACGTAACCTCTATTTCTCTCAATCGTGGATGAAAATTACTTATTATAATTATCTTAGGATCATTTTCGTGAAATATTTAGTTATATGCAGTTGCCATAAGTCCACAAAAAACGTTTTCAGAAAAAGACGTGAACGGAATTCGTTTTGCTAGAATATACGTATTTATCACAACATTGACTGTTTTCAGGTTGACATATGTCAAAGGGAAAGCGGTGGAGGAAGTTTTCATGGTTACCATTCAATAGATCAGTTATTTAGCGCTAGGAATAGTACCTTTTATTGGACTTTTGCAATAATTGGTATATCTGACTTTTGACCGGTTTTTCTGCATAAATACTCCTATGTGCGACGTCTAGTTTGGTGCTGTTAAAAAGCATAAAAAGTACGTTCTACAATTTTTTTGTATGGAAAAAAATGCACAGCACCGCCAGCAAAAAAAAACAAAAAAAAAAGCTTTTTTCTATATTTTTTTGTGATGTCGCTTTGACCAGGGCTTGAACCCAGGCGTTGCGGAGTGGAAACGCGCACTGCTTACCACTACACCACAGCGGCCGAATTTTCTTTTATTATTCTGATAAAAAACTTGAAGTTTTTACGAAAGTTTATTGTATTTTGTTTAAATATTGCACAGGGTTTGAAACTAGAGTTTATACGGTTTAGTTACAAAATACACTATTAAAAAGTAATATGTATAACTTAAATAACAAAAAAAATATAACTTGTCTATAAGTGTTCAGGTTATAATTTTTCAATACAGCGTAAAACAAATATGGAAAACTGGTATTCAAAAGGTGATAAGTCTATTTTTTTAATTTTACAGGAGCTGAATATGCCTTGAATTTAAAGGAATTGAATAATTAAAGTTTTCAATTTAATACGTGTAGATCGTTCATTAAAAATGTAATATCGTATGTATGTATATGGATGTGCATCAAAGTGGTCCGAAAATACTTGTGAAAAAGTAAAGTCGGAGTTTTAATACCGCCACCCCTAGGATTGTTCTATACCGAAAAAAATATGTTCCCTTTTTTTTTGAAAAAAAAAAAATTTAGGGAGTGCTCAAAGCGCTCAAAGTCTTCCATGATCGTGTATGGGGAGAACACAACTTTTCGTTGAAATAGTGGAGAGCTCCAGAAAATCAATATTTTTCGATCGGAAAATTCTGTTTCTGTTTTAGGAGATTCCTAGTAATAATACCCAATTATTTCTTTACCCATTTTTTCATGGTAACTATATTTTATAGGAGCCGTGAGGCGAAACACATACACAAAATCAGCTGATCTAGTAACACCACCTTATATAAATTCGGCTTAGGTTTTTGTTTACATTTTTGTTTTTCGAAATTCAATTTTTGTCAAATTACTTTACTTGATGAAATAATGATTATTTTATATTTTATTGCATCATGATTATTTTATATTTAAGGGAAAATGAATGAAAATTAATGTTTTGGTATGGAAATGCACGCAAATTGTATTAAAACAAACGCGTTTTTGCAGTATTTCGCTACGGGAAGGTTCAAGTGAGTAATTGAAAAAAAAAGAAGGAGGCAAGAAAATGAGTTATATATATGTATGTATATGTGCTTATTATGTGGTGACTTCTACACAACGCGCAAGTGTGCCGAAGTCGAGGATTCGTTTCGGAATGAGGAAACGATGGCACTACTATGATTAGGCGCATAATATACGGAGTGCTAAGGCACTCACTGCTCAAAAAACTGAAAGTCCGGTACACACATATGTACGCAATATAAATTTTAAGCCGTATTTAAAAGCGCAGTTAGTCAACGACGTAGCGTAAACGTAGGTTGACGTACGAAGCAGCATATGAAATTGACTGTTGATAGAGCGAGAGAGAAGCAACGGCAACGTCACCGCCATGTGTTGGTGAGTTTTGGTTAACACGCGAATCCCATAATGTAGATCGTGTCTGCGTCAACCTACGTCTACGCTACGTCGTTGACTGTTTGAGCTTTAAGAATAGTTGCCTAACTTCGACAATTTTTATGCGATCGCAATAAATGCGGTACCAGTTTATTTGAAAATGGGTTTAATATTAGACAGTGCTACATACGTATTTTGAAATTGTGGGAATAAGTTTTGGTCAAAAGATAAAAAATTAAGAAACAATTTTTTCTTTATTTGCCCGATGAAAACTTCCAACAATCCAAGTCTGACAACCTGTTCGATCGTTAAAATTGAATGCAAACCAGTCATCATTCCAAAGCTGATAAATCTACAAAACCGTACTTTCTGATCTAAAATTACAAGTCGCGATCTCTAAATGATTTTTGAAAAACTATAAAAATATTTCCAAAAAAACACAGTATGTTTGTTGTAATTGTTATATTTAACATACCTCTTTATGTCATTTCTTTTTATTGTTTTTTTAAGTAAATGCGCTTTTAATGAAATTTACATTATGTAAATATTTTTGATATACAAATACATTCAACTGTACACTAATATGTGTATGTATAGATCTCTAAAAAATACAAGAGTGCATTGAGTAACCAAATATTTGTAAGTAAGTGTTTTCATGCTTCTTTATGTTTGTAAATATGTTTTCTTTTATGAAGATGGGCGCACGAAGGAACAATAAATGCGATAAAAATATTTCTGCTACGGTAGAAAAAATTCGTTTGTTTTATTTTTTAAATTGATCTCCGTTCATGGACTATTTATGTAAGTAAATATGTGCATACATATGTATCTAAGTTTGGCCATATTCCACACCAAAGGCTATTTGTTTAATTGTGAGACCCCATACGTTGCAGTAATTTACATGTATGTATATATAATTTGTTGTACATACATTAGCTGGATCAATTGACTAGGTGGTAATTTCTGCACTTTGTCTTTTAAATCTATAACTAACTAGCGTTGTTGTAATGCTACACCGCAAATGTTGCTACTTTACATTTATATTCTTACTTGTTTGTATGTATATTTACAACTGTAAATCAAGACATACAAATATGTAAATGCATGTTATTATGTGCATGCATAACTACATATTGACACACTTATGAGCGTCTTAGGTTTCATTCCTATATTTTAGATCAACTATGCACTTCTATTCGCATCGCAGGTATTACTCATATTTCCTTGTCTATGCTTTCCAAACTTTGTTGAATAGGTCCATGAACGAATCGTAGATCATGAAGGTAATGGCTACATCCAGGCAAACACGACCTAGACGCGGCACTGTGCCCTTGTAAAATGCTGTCACACCTTCCTTACGCCAAATCTGCAAAGCACAATCCGCTGTGTTCTTATACTTGGCTGCCTCTAGACCCTGCATGCGTGTCTTCACCACATCAAGTGGTGTATTGCCGAACACTGAGGCCGCACCAGCTACCGCACCGAAAGCACCCACTACTAGCTTAGGCACATGCTTATTCGGATCTTCACCCTTATAGAGATCCTTCAGCGATTCCATTACGAAGAAGCGTATCGCTTGATTCGAGCCCTGCTTGAGAATGGTGGGTGTAAGTCCCTTGTAAACACCGCCAAAACCTAAAAACAATGTGTGAATAAAGCTAAGACTCTAAGGAAGTTTAAAACCTAGACACCAACCTTCCTGTCGCACGATTGTGCTGACGCCATGGAAGAAACCGCGATATTGCGGATTCGCACTACGCTGGTCGTTAATGAATTTTACTTTGACAGTCTCCATGGGTGTAACAGCCAAAATGGCTTCGCAGACACCGGCACCAAGACCACACAAAAGTTTGCCTGAATTGGTGAGCTGATTGTTCTTGTCGGCCATGTTGCTGCGCAGGAATTCGAAGGCACCAAACCTGAGCGAAAAAAAGAAACCAACGGTACTACATAAGTAATCTAGAATCTTTTTTGGAATCTTTTTCCAAACTTACCGCGCCGCCGATTTGGGAATACTGCCGTAGACTAAAACGCTCAAGCCACGATATAGACCAAAGAAACCGTTAGATTTTACCGTCTTCTTCACACAGTCGGCAATGCCATTGTACTTTTTGTTAGCACCTGTAATTAAAATGGAAAGCTATATGACTAAGAAACGTATTTTCAGGTGAGGCTCAGAATCCCATATGGGCTTTCCAACGTTGACAAAAGTTATTATAATTCGTCGTTACTGTAATTCGAAAAGCCAGCTCTTTCACGCTGAAGTGCTCTATTGCAAGTATTAGCAGCACTGAAAGCTCGAATAGACCGATAATTAGGTTAGAGGCACGCTCAAGCAAGTGTAGAGCAACAATCCTATGCTTAGAAGAGACTTCGTAAAGAAGAATGAGGAAACTTAACGGTGACAGTCACAGATTTGATGTAAAAAAAGCTGTTTGCTTACTATTCTCTTCTAGCAGCTCAAATTGGTAATGGTTACCAAATCCTGTGTTGAGAGAAATATATTTAGCTGACTCTTTTCTCAATGTAGGAAGGAAAGGTGATGCCTACTTACGGTGACCATTCGTACCGATCTTGGCGGGACAGTACCGATGATAAAATTGTCCCGCTGAACATTTTTTAAAACTCGGGACATATAAGTGTGCGGATTTTTCATAATTGCACCGATTAAGTCCCGATTTTCGGGGTTTTCTTTATTAATTTAATGCGAGTCTCCCTTTACTATGGCCCAAAAACAATTTTTCTGAGCCATAAACCCGATACTTATTTTCTGTGATCTTTGGTTATGTGTTATTTTTTTCAAACTGGCGCTCTCGCTTTATTACTGCCTATCATTCTTGTTTAATTTTTCTTAAGGTTTTAGTAAACGTTAAGAATTTGTTAAGTTTGTTGTTTTTTAATAAAACAATACTAACATGAATTTAGTGAAATTATAAAAAATAATACTAATTTATTAACCGATTTCAAAACTAGGAGGAGGTTATCGATTCGTTCGTATATATTTTTTATGGATGTTGCAGCATAACTTTGGACCACGTTAAGCTAATTTTGTAATTTTTTAAGGAAAGGTGGTATCACAGAGGTGGTCACATACTAATTTGGCTTAGATCCGATCATTGGATCATGAAGAAACTAACGGTACCCTTAATATTTTATATAAGAATTAAGGTCGGTTTTTTGCTTAAAAGTTACTTGTTTTCCATTTGTTTTATTTCAAATAAAACTGTGATACAAAATGTTATCTATATATAATTGCTCAGTCATACGACTTAGTTAGGGCGATCTGAAGCAGTGAAAGAATTGAGCGGTACATCAAAAAGTGGAAGCTCCACAGATTATCCAAAAAAATCGGTGAAGTAGGTGAAAAAATATAAGCGTTTAAACATTTTCTTCACTCATTCTCAACGTATCTTCTATACATAATTACTGCTTAGTTAGGGCGATCTGAAAAAGCTACAGAATCGAATTATACACCAAATTAAAGTGTAAGCTCCACAGGTGATTCAAAATTTTTCATATTTCAAATCGGCGAAATGGATAAAAAAAATATAAGTGTTTAAACATTTTCTTGACTCATTCTCAACATATCTATACCTATATAAATGCTCAGTCATACGACTTAGTTAGGGCATTGCATAAACTGTTATACGTATTGTTGTTTCCTAGATCAGATGTGCACCGTCAGTCTCAATATGGGTGTGTTAAGAAAGAAGTTCAAGAAGGTGTTAGCTTCAAAATATTATGAAGAGGGCTGCCACCTGTTTGAAAAGTCGAATTTAATTAAATTATAGAAAATCTAAAAGAAATATTCAAACATGGGTGTGAAATGAAAACAAAATCTTCAGTATGAACATATGATATATCTTTTAGGTGTTTGAAGAATGTTGATACCTGTTTGAAAAGTCAAATTTAACTTCATTCATTAATTGAAGTATGTATCACCCTATCGGACTAAAAAGGTTTAAGAAAATTTCAGTTTGAAAATTCTTTTGAAGAGGGTTGCCACTTTTTTGAAAAGTCAGATGTAGTTAAATTGTGCAAATGTTATATGTAACATTAAAATATGAATGTAAAATAGAAGAATTTATTTCAATAAAAATTAGTTTCATGACTTTTTATTGTTTTAAAAGGGTTGCCACCTGTTTAAAATGTTAAATTAATATTAATTTAATTATATGAATTGTTAAAACATGGCTATCAAACGAAATATATTTTGGAAAGTTTTAGTTTACATATATGTACTTTTAGAAAGGATTATCATCCGTTTTGAAATTTGAATTAAAATTAATTATATTCGATTTGTGTGAAACATTTCAATACATATATTGTTCAAAAGTATAAAACTAATTGCCTTTCACCATGAAACGCCTCGAATTTCCAGTGATAATTTGTTTGCGACTACGATGAAAAAAGGCCTTGTACAGATATTGTTCAAAGCTGGACTTTATATTTAAGTAGCTATGAGTAGAGTAAGGCTCATTTTATTTCGTACTTCAGTTTAAATACATAATACTGCTAAGTGTTTCTTTACGGCATTCACTCGAATTTCGGGCGTTAAAACGAGTGCCGTTTTATTCTACAAACAAAATTGTATGTTCGGATTCGATGTTTTAGAAATGTTTTGTTAAAAGATTTCCCTTTCAACCCCAATAAATTGCCTTGTAACAAGCCGAGCCCAATTCACTTACCCTTTTCATCCAACTGCAATTGTGTCTTTACATATTCGGTGGGAAAGGTAATACAAATTTCAATTCCTCCAGTAATACCTCCAGCTACAATGCCTTTCACACCTTTGTTGCCCGCTGAAGGTGCTGCTGCGCCGGTATTCGCCATCCAAGGCCGTTGGCCGAATGGATTTATGAAGGCTGAATTTACACCTTTACGTTCCATATTTAACTTAAAGCTGTGCGAGTTTTCGAGTTATACGGATATGTGTGTTTGTTAATGCGGGGAAGGATGGTTCTGTAAAGAAACGAAACCCGTTACTACGTAAATTAATAAGCATAGGTACATATTAGGAATGTTAATTTTTCGGCTTTTTCTGATCCCGGGTTTTCGGGATGGGATTAGTCCCCGGGATTTAAAAATGTATTACTTTTCAACAACTTGAATCGAAAAAATTGCTTCTATATTGTTTGAGAAGCTCTCCTACCATGAAATAAATCAATTTGCAAAAGCCGGAAAAATAACATTTGCTTGTAATTAAATTGAAAATTTATATAGGTCACTTGATTTCAAGGCGAATTAATATAAGGTGATAGCAGGAGTACAAAAACAAAAATGTACATGTATTTTGTTTTTGCTTTGGCGGCATAAACTGTCAAAATCTGTAAGAGTGTGTGTAGAAATTCAAACAAAATTTTTCAATTTGATATCAGTAGCCCGTTTCTGTAACTTTTCTCTACCGATTATTTCTCTACTGGTAGAGAAAATACGTCATTCTCACCTACTAATTAGCAGTAGAGAACAGGGCGGCGAATTCATATCTCAATTCGCCTTGGTAGAGAATTGTTACAGAGAATTGTTACGGCGACAGCTGAGTTTTTTCGCCGTGGAGGCCATTACGTCAAAATGATGTGTTTGTTGTAACTCATACCAATGACAGTATGGACATCAGCGTTTAATTTGTTAGTGTAATTTTTTACTTATATACGGCCAACACCACCTTGTTAAATACGCCTTGGAGCTACAGAAGCCGTGCGGCGAAACACATACACTAAATCAGCTGAGCTAGTAGTATATAAATTCGCCTTGCTTGATTTCAAACGTTTTTTCTTTTGTTTTGAAAAATTATAAAAACTAATTGAGCGAAAATAAAAAGCAAAGCCAAATGAAAGTAGAAGAATCAACATTGAACTGCGTCAAAATGAAAATAAGGGAGCAAGAATTTCGATGTGAAGCAAAACTCTCTAGGAAGACAATACCTGTAATTATTGTACCATGGTTTGAAACCTACTTTTTTATTTAAAGTGGCGTTTTTTCCCTATGACCGCAAGATTTATTTTGAAGGACTTTGTAATTTCAAAGATATGATTAATTCCAAAAAGTACTAAAAAATTCTATGCAAGAAAGAATAAAAATATGGGTAAAAAATGCAATAGGAAATTTCTTTAGAATCTAAAAAAATTATTTTTTTTGGAAAATAAATAAAAATTTTTATTTTTTATCTACCACATCTACCACTCAAGGTCTGAAATCTAACACATGTTCGCGTTTTTGAGTAGTTTTATTTTTGCTTGACATAATTTTCTTAATTTTAAGAGCAAAAAATGTCCAACACTAAACACGATATGGTAACAAGAATGATATAATACAAGTGTCCGCATTCCCGGTGACGATGAAATTTCTCAAGTAAAAGCAAACAAAGCTGTAAAATAGTAAATTTTCTCAATTTTTCGTCAGGAAACGCGGTTTTATTTTGTTAAATTGCAAAATATATAATTTATAAAAAGAATTAATAGCGAAAATGTTAAAAAACGGAGATTTTTGTGAAAGTATTAGCAAATTTAAGTGCATTAAAGGTTTCTGAGACGTTGTTTACTTTTACTTGGGAATTGTCAAAATTGGCAAATCCCAATTAGCTGTTTCTGGAACGTGCCACATGTGTTCGCTACTTCGTGATGTGATAAAAACAAAAGCTGGCAGCACTCAGCAAGGTTGCACAAATCTCTTAAAATGGCTGCATTTCTTTATTCATTCTGAACGTTTGGAATAAACTTTTTTGTTTACTTATTCTTTAGAACGTTCCTGATGATATGTCAACGTATATTTCAAACGCATTCTGTTTATTCCGGCTGTGAAATGGGATTATCCGGAATGTATAAAGAAACGCAGCCAATATGTTCGAAAAAATATCTTAATATGGAAGGAACTGCTTTACACTGTCAAGGAAAAAAATTGCAAAAACTCAACGCAAATTTTAGCTACTTCGATGTTGCACTTTATTATTCTAAAATTAAAAATATTTTGGGTCTAATTAAAAAGTTTGCCATTTAGGTGAGACCTGCAGAATTTTTTTAATTTTTGTACAAATTTTGAAATCTACCACATTTTTTCCCAGATTCTACCACACAGAATTTTTTTAAAGTCCGATCACTGCACCTGAGATGAGCATTTCCACCTTGGCTCAAATTAAAGATATTGAATAACACTACAACATACTTGCTATTCGAATTATATAAAAGTGGGACATCGATGCACAGCTGCATGCAAATAAAAAAATGCAATCAAAATGCATTTCTTAAATTGAGTAGTCTACTTGCAAAGTGCGCTATGTAAAATTTTTCGATTTTTAGTTTTTGGTGGATTACGTACCTGTATTTAAAGTAGTTTCATGTCCACTAACAAAATCTTTTTATATTCTGAAAAAATAATATCAAATGTTAACTCTTCTTCCAAAAGTCGCTATCATACTTATTTATAAACTTTCAAAAGTATCCATCTTAGAAAACTGCTTTAGGTCGTATAGACTGTTAATGTTATCTACACGGTCAAAAATTTGGGTTTAATTTTTAAACCGCGCTGGGACTACTGCCATTTTTAAACTTTTATAGTCTACTTTTTAAACCAGTCAATAGTTTTACGCAATCTTTAATATATTCTGGTTTAAATTTTAGCCCAAAATGTTCGTGGTTTAAAAATCAAACCAAAATGTTTTAATTCTAGTTTCTAGGTTTCAAATATAGAAACTTTGGTTTAAAATCTAAACCGAAATAGAATATGTTTGCACAGCGAATTGTGGTGTTGATTCAAACTCAACATATGAAAGCACATTTACATGCGTGGCTGTAGCTGAGTGTGCAAAGATGCTTGATACAATTGGTTGCTACCAAGGCTGTCCGGGTTCAATCCCAACCAGACGGAGCATGAAATTTAAGATTGTTTTTTTTTTATTCTTAATTATGAAAATGTTTAGGTTTAACATTTAAACCGCATTGTTTAAATTCTAAACCCAACATATGTGCTCTCTTTTTTATAAACTTGGAAGGTTTGTATTTGAAACTGAATTTAGTTTGGTCATATATGTAGTCCAAAAAGTTTAAAATTAAAACCGAAATTTTTATCCGTGGAATTACATAAGCTTTCGAAACTATTTTGTTTCATATCAAAATGTTGCTTCTATCGAAAGCGCTACGATTAATTCGCATGGATTCTTCATAAAGCACACTGTGCGGCAGCCGAGATAGGGCGATCGTCCTCTCAGCCGACGATATAGGATTTTTTTTTTGTTGAATCATAGATTGTGTGGCATCGATTGTAGATATTTCTAAATGTCAGTTTCTAGTATCGACCTTATTTGCTTGATGAGATCCTTCTATAAAGATACGAGTATCAGACATATTACTAATTGATTTAGACATCCAAGGCAAAGAATGACTTGCTCCATGATGATTTTCAATTTGAACATTAGAGTAACATTTTTTGCATGTCGGATTCATCAGTGCAAAAATGTAGGCAAAAAGCTGGCCATATTTTTTAAAACGTCAGCCTTAAACAGTCAAGTATACCGAATTACTATGGAATTAATTTAAGATATGAGCTTATGGGTCATTCCATACAAAATTTACACTTTAAAATTTTTTTGGCGTGAAATTTTTTTACATTCTTAATCGAGAATGGAAGACACCTATTTTTTATTTCATCATGCTATTTGAAAATCCCGATAAACAATTTCCGAAATTTTTAACTTACAAAGAAGTATGTACCTTTTTAAACTTTTTGCAGTTAATAAACTATTTGCCAGAGAAAATCAATTAAGTAATCAAAATGTGCGTAATTACCTCGCCTTTGAATTAGAGTTTGAGATAGATTTAAAGAAAAAACTTTGCATTCGAAAATTCCATTTTTTACATAAAGTAGCACTGACAGCGCATGCCTGCGCTATGGAACCTTATGTACGCAGGCATGAAAAAACTTGAATATAAAGAAAAATTAAAAAATAAAATGTAATTTTTATTGAAAAAAAATGTTTATATAAATCTATCTCACACTCTAATGCGAAGCCGAGGTAATTTTAAAAAAGATACCTTGTGAATTCAAAATTTCGTAAATTTTTTTTTCGAGATTTTCGAATATCATGATGTCATTTTTCGATAAAAAATTAAGAAAAATATATTGCGCACCAAATAAAATATTGAGATGTAAATTTTGTTTGGAGTGACCGATATGCAATAATAGACCTTTTCAGTTCAATGCTTACATTATTAGGCATCTTCGAGATATGAATCTCCCACCATGGAATTCTAGCATATAGTGTGCGACGTAATGATAATATCAACCCAGTAGTTTGGATAACAAATATTATATTTCAAATGGAACAGTTGAAATTTGTTTTTAATTTTTTCATTTTCCATTACCTTTAATTGCTTTATAAATTCGGGTTGAAATGGAGGTTTAAATTTCTCCATTAAATTTAGATCGATAGAACGCGCTGGCACCGATTTTTGGGTCCTCTCTTTGTAATCTACTGGCATGAATTGTTGGGAATCCAACTGAAAGTTTTATTAGCATTTTCAGGAAGCAGTCAGAGAAAACCCTCTGGCACCCTAACTATTCATCCGAGTTGATGAAAAGTGAGTTTTTGAGTACGGCTGGAATTAAAATCGCCTCACACATCAACGAACCTCCGCTAGAAAAAGCGCATTAGCGCTTGAAGAACTAGGGGCCGATTTCCGGATTACCTTTTAAAATTTAGTTAACTTTTAAAGTTATAGAGTGCTTTGACTGCCGGTCAGATTTAACCATCACATGCTTATAAGAGGCAGTCCATAAAGCAGTCGATGTGCTTAAAGCGAAGTTAAGATTCAACAGGTTACAATACTATTGTTGTTATCTTAATTACTGACCTTATAATTTTGGCGCAATAGATTTATGCACTTATTTACCTAAACGTACTTGTTGAAAAATTTTAACGGTACATTTCCATGACCCGAATAATTTTTTTCTCTCTAATTTTTATATAG